GAAATTGACAAGCTGTAATATTACTAAACACTTAATACATACTGCATAACAGAAACGCGCCCAAAATCTCAAACACATAAAACAAAATTAATCATTCTTCCTACTGTAAAGAATCAAAAACATAATATGCATAAAAACAGGACAGCAGAACTTGGACCAAACAAAATCCACAATAAAGCAGAAACTAAATAATATTAACTAATATAGTTAAGAAATCAATAAAAAATCATCTGAATCTCAAATTCCAGACAAGATAACAATGCTTTACAGCAAAAAACTCTATTTGGAATTCACCAAACAATTCTAAAAAAGAAAAAATAATACATCATCAACTCCGAAAGGCAAAATTAATTTACCCAACGAGGCAGAGGAATGCCAATACTTTGGTCGACTTTCACACCAACCAATCTAAACCGCACCCGGATCACACACCAATATACAGTCCATAAACCTCCAAACTAACGGCCATATCACAAAATTCCTTAAACAAATCTAAAGAAATAAAACAAATCATTAACTCCTCTCCAATAAAAAAGCACCAGGTCATGAATAATTCAATAATTCAATACTAAAACATTTTACCAAGCCTCCGCAATTGCAAATACTTAACAAATAATACAATTCATGCTTCAGAACAATTCATTTTCATCACATGGAAGCATTGCTATCATTCATTCTGTTCCAAGCAATGAATTCCCAGCCCAACACCGGACAGTCTATCGCCCGATAGGTCTTCTACCAATTTGTCTAAAATTTTCGAAAAGTAATATCTCCACGTCTTAAAAAGCACCTAACAAACAACAAAAGCTATCCAGAGGCAGTTTGGATTCACAAATATATATCACACAACAATCACTCTTAGAATCAAGAACATCTAACACAGCAATTTCAGAAAAAACATATAAATACTCATATCACTCGACATAAAACAGGCATCTTGATAGAGTCGGCACGCAGGCACTAAATTTAATAAATAAAGAAACTAGACAACTCCACATTACATCCTCAGTATTTCAAAACTTTTATCCAACAGACTTTGCAGTAACAATCAACAACTATCAATCAAACCCAGGTAATCAAAAGCAGGATTACCTCAAGGTTCCCCCCTATCACCACCTGTTTAATCTCTATGTAGAGACTCCCTATTGATGAAACAAGTAAAACGCACAATTTGCAGATGAAACCTTATCTTCCTCCTCCGCCATCTTAATAATATTAAAAACCACTAACAACTGTATCTAAACCCAATAGAGAGTTGATCATCCAAATTAAAAATAAAATTGAACGCTCCAAACAAACTGCAGGCTAAAATATTCTCTTTAAGACCATACACTTTCACCAACCCCACTCACTTTAAATAATGAGGGCAATCCACTGGTATCCTCCAAATAAACCATAAAAATTTGACTAGCACATGGACCAAATAGGAACTGGAAAAGCACATAGACATCAAAATATACAAAAAAAACAATTGGCATACTTAAAAACTCTACTAAACAGGAAAATTACCTCCCATACAAAACAGCAAATACTTTATTCAAACATAATCAGACCTACTCTTCTCTACGCTGCCAGTATGATAATGCTGCAAAAACACAACAAAATTCAATATAAGGAGAACCAATTCCTCCGTTCAAATACTAATGCACCTGGTTCATATCTATCATCAAATTACATAATGAATTCAACCTCGAATCCCATCATGCACACATCACCTACTATCCACAATTTCTTCTTCAAATACACACCATAATCCAACCTTATCTTTCTTCAATCTTTGCAAAAACCCATCATCCTACTCGCATAAAAAATATAATACCATTCCACACATTTTGTAAATTGTTCTCAGATATGGAATAGTTTTAATGACAGGTTTCTTAGGTTTCTCAACTCTGTACATAGTAAATTTAGTTAGGATTAAGTTACGGATAAGGTTAAATTATTAAGTCATCATACAATATGTAGAGTTATTAAAAACTGAACTATGTACTAAACAATCAAATAAATAAATAAAAAAAATGTTCTAGTTCTAGAAGAGCGAGAAGATATAATGAAACAAAACGAAATCGTTAATATAAGACAAACTGTAAGCTACCTAATTCGTTAAAATAAAAATATCTCAATACAACAAAATAAATTTTGTAAAAATGAGTTGAAAGAAATGTCATGTTTTAAGACAAAACTCTACTTAAATAGTTCCAAACCAATTTAATAAATTCTTAGATATTTTGTTCAGAGCATTCAGAAATATCTCTTATATTTTCATATTTCATATAATTTATTTATATAAATTCAAAACAATAAAATCCTGCTAAATAAATTTACAAAGGGCATCTTTAATGATCGGCAATAATTGCAATAACTTGCAATGTCAAGATAATATAATTATTTGAATTTAGTAATAATGAGAAAAACATACTGTAAATTACTAAAATTTATAATTTGTCAATAATCATATGCGGACTGATTGTAAGGAGAGAAACTACATAAAAGTCAGTTTCCTTGATGAAGCCGCGTCAACAGCTGGGGTGGCGCCACGGTACCAGCGGCGGTGCACCGCTGGTGGGAGATACGTGTTTGGGGAAAACCCCTGTAAACCGACGTAGGCTGGCGCCGAATTTCGCGCAGCGCAGGAAAATAACCGCCACCTCCGGCGATGAATCGTGCGCTGCACATACGAGACTAATGGCATTACCAGTTGACGGGCCCGGAATCTCTACTCAATCAATCAATCCGTCAACAAAATATTTCTATAATGTTTATTTCCCGTAATGTTTAAAAAAAGAACAAAGATATCCAAATAGCTGATGATTGTTTTCAACTATTACATATCCAGTAAAATGTATTTATTATTACACATTAATTTAATATTATTGAAGGGAATCCACCAAATTTTAGAAACAAACGAATAACTTATATTCATTGTTTAAACAATATCATTCACATTAGAAGAGAAACTGTGGCATGAATACTAAAAATTATCATACTATCAAGACATACAAATAAATACAAAAATACTCTACCGATAAATTACAACATAAAATAAAGAGGCCAGTAGACTGGTAATTGGCTTGAAATATTTCACTATTTTACTCTCCCGATTCTCAGTCTATTACTAAAAAAATACTTATTCTATGACACCATAATAACCTCTTTACAGAACAGTTTTAAACGTAGTAGTCATGATGTTATATTCAGGTTTTGCATAGTTGGAGATTCATTGTGGTGTCGTCTTCATTCTTCCAGTGAAACACGTTTTTTCTTGATTTTTAGTTAATCGAACAGTGTTTTTGCTACATTTGTATAGAAATGTAAAGAATTATGGAGTCGGTAGATAAAGTGCAGCGAAATTTGCTCTTGAGAAGCTGGAAGGAATTCTTAACGGTTGGGGGTCACATGTTTCTCCCTTCTTGAAAAATGTTCTGGATACGAAGATTAAGTAACTTCTCGTAGAACCTTTCCGGGATGCTGGCAGTGTGTTGAGAGATTGTTTAACATGACTGGAAGGCGCCAAGTCAGTCTTGCCTTCCGTCCTTTTTTCCCGCTTTCGCCTTTCCATCCCAACCCGCGGGCGTGTGGTTGTGAGTGCCCTCTCCCAGCTCAACTGTCCATTGTTCTCTATTGTTCGAGCGAGGTGGGGGTAGCTTTTGTCTGGACGGCAGGCGGCGCGCCGCTACCTGTCTTGCAATAGAGCACCGTACTTGGAACAATGTCACACGCAGACAATGACAGATTTAGAAAGTATTTTAGGGATGGGGGGAATTTCACTTCATACTGTAAGTGATGGGGTAAAATTAGTCGTTCGTAGAAGCCTTGGAAATAATCGTGTTACGTGATGCCAATTTTGGATGAAACAAAGAATAATATAGCAACACTGAATTTTAGAGTCATGCGTTCACCCAGAAGTAATTTACTAAATATCACATGATGGTCCTTGAAGTTGTAAGATCACACCTTATGAAGAGGATTTTCTCCCACTAATTTACATTATTGGGAAATTGATCGTCGATTTGATAACGTCGATCGGTTTTACAGCTGTTAAATGTGTCTGTTGTCTTAACGGTTTGGTTAGTTAGATTTAAAAATCTAAATTTCAGACTAGAAAACTGTCAAGAACACTATAAGAGATCCTTATAATTACATAATTACAATCGCAAATATTTTTAAAAAATTATTGAAAATATAAAATATATGTAGCACATGGAAGTAGTTTTCTCCAGTGTGTTTTGATATAACTGTGGATTGTAGACTGCGATAAAAGTGATGGGTCTGTGAACTTTTCATTACAGTTTGTTATTGAATCGGGAATGGAGTTGTTTGTTGGAAATGAACCAATGAGAATAAATGATAAGTCTTAACGGAATTTTGATATTTTGTTTATTTAGATTTGAGGTTACAACATTTGTCCAGATTCTGGAAGTAAAGAGAATTAACGATATGATTTTGGATTTGTATATTGTTAGGAATTTGAATAGGAGAGTTCTTTGCGTCTGTTGATGAGGGGACGAAATTTTATGAGTATGTAGTTTACTTGTGCGCGTAAGAAACGACTTTAGTTCTTCATAAATAGTGCACGTCTGTGAAGTAAAATTTACAAAATTTTCTAAGCATCTAATGAGTTTAGGAGAGCTTTAATTTCTAGACATTTTGTGTGATTAGAGGAAGATATGTTATCCAATTAGGCTTCCGAACGCCAAACAATTTGAATCAGAAAATACAGAGTCTGTAAAGTAACCTTATAAACGCAAAATGGATGCAGAGAAATGAGAAAGTATTGGAATTAAGATTCAATTTAATGCATTTATACTGGGTTTCCGTCTTAAACTAGTCTTATACAGTACATGGCACTTACAATCTACACTTAATTACAGACTTACAAGTACAACATAATTTGTCTTATATGTATATTTACATTGACAAATAATCACACAACTTAAAAAAGATAAATATAAAAAATAATAAAAATACACTAACACACAAAATGTGGGCTCTAAATTTACATTAACTTTCTTTCCAGCTATGCTCTTGGAACTTCTAACTATAATCTGGTCTTTAAAGTCTGCCAGCTTGACTTGCGCTGACGCTTGCTGAGCGTCATTGTCTCTTGCCCATACACACACGTAGCTTGTTTTCGCGCATAAATTCCATAACTCTTGCTAAAAATATGTAAAAATATTTGAAAGGGGACATTAAAATTTCACGAAGAGCAGTTCACGTCAGTTATATAATTTATTTGGTAAAGTCATTTCAAACCACATATCATCGTAGAGGACTTCTTTGGTTTTTGTGTGATTACTCGCAACCAGATTCAAATGTTTTATCAGTTATCTAAGCTAATGGATATATTTTGCAACTTCGCTGATCTATGCGTAAAATAGTTTTGTTTTGATCACGAATGCAATGTCGCAGTGGCTAAAGTTCATCTGAACGTCAATATTTCTATCTTTGCCAGTCACGTTATCAATAGAGAATAAGTATATTTCCAAACTCGTGACGCTAAAACTCAATTAATCTCATATCATAAACACACCAGACAAATCCTTTCAACTATATTTTTTTTCTCTCATTCAACGAGGGAAAAGTAATGACAAATCGACAGTCTCAAGTGGTATCATTATCACCAATGTAAACAGGCGTTCATCCATACATTTTTCAGAACCAAAACTTTTATTTTGTATTTTAGCAAACAGGAAGATCCCCAGAAGTAATACAACATACCTCGAAGAACCAGTAAAATATTTTACCCCGAATAGCGGCACAATGTATTTTTTTAAAAAAGCAATACAGCATTGGTACTCCAAAATCTAGTTATATCTACACCGAAACGGCAATATCGGGAAGGAGTTCCTATCCCAATGCACTCCAGATTCTAACTCGATATTTTAAAGGTATAGAGTTATTATATCCACGCTGCCTGGAATGTATTTTCATTTCATTTACGAGTGAACAAAATGCAAATTATTAACTTCTTGCTTCGTAATTTCCAAATCAGCTCCTCTGAATTTTGCCAGCTGTTCAAATTTGTAAACACTCCAGCTCGAAACACTCGACAATGTTACTTCTTGGGATCGAAAAGCTCCGACTACCCCCCCCCCTGTCTTTTCTCCCCCACCC